CCTCCCCAGAAGGTTTAAATTCTCAAATCTGCACAACCCAGTGATAATAATGAACAGCACAGGAATATACAAAAGTACACAGTATAAAAACTATTTCCAAAGAATGGAACAGTTAAGAAATAAGCATGCAGCTTCACAAAAACCAATTGTGTTCTCAATACATTGCAAAAGAGAGAACACAAGTGCAATTCCATATCAATGCTGACAATTTTGGTAATTTCCTTACCGGTTGCACTTTGCAAATCGCAGTTGTGACCACAATTTCTTGGTCCTAGCCTTAAGAAGACTATTCCTATAATGGCAAACGTTGTTCTAAGCTAAGGTTTTATTGAGATCTATTATAATATTTCTTGAGAGACAGAATGAGTCTCGGGAGCGCATCTGTCAGGAGCAATAAATAAATATTTTCTGCCCGCTGAACAAATTGTAACCCTGTTCTATTTCTGCTCCTGCCATGAGGCAGATTTTATTTTATTTTATTTTTTGTAGGAAACTTGTCACAGAATCCTTGCAGCCACCCAGTTCCCTCTCAAAAGCACTTTCCCCATTCATTTCAGATGTTTTCTTGAGGGTCAAACCTCCTTTTTCTCAAGGCCTCTGTAACCTTACAACAAATGCAGACTCGGGGGAAACGGGACAGCCATAGAGCCAAATCNAACATTTTCTAATGGTGGTGTGCCTCGTGATTTTTTTCATGAAAAAAGTGTGCCTTTGCACAAAAAAGGTTGAAAAACACTGTACTAAACAATTAATTCCCACAACACTGTCAAACTATTTAGTAAGACTGTATTAATATTGTTCTTCCCATCTTTCCTATTGCCTATTTCCTTTTCCACTTATGACTGTTGCTTGTATCTTTACGATTTATATTGTTTTATTTAGTTTCCTAGTATGATTTATATTGATTGCTTATTTAGTATCCTATGCCTATCACTAAGTGTTGTATCTTATGACTTACGATGAATGTATTTTTACGATGACTATGATCATGATGTATCACTCACAGCTTTTATGTACACTGAGAGCTTCTGCACCGAAAACGAAGTCCTTGTCTGTCCAATCATACTTGGCCAATAAAGAATTTTATTCTGTTCTGTTCTATTCTAATTGTTTTCACTGTCAAGAAGTTTTTCCTTATTTCTAGATTGGACCATTATGAGCTGGTCAACAGTGTATGTGTTACAAAAAGCATACCGTAATTTTCGGAGTATAAGACGTACCTTTTTTCCTCAAAAAAGAGGCTGAAAATCTGGGTGTGTCTTATACACCGAATACAGTATTTTTTTGCCTCCTGAAGCCTCGCTCTCTCACCAAAATGGCCATGCATACCCTTATGGAGGCTTTCATAGAGCTCCTGGGGGCTGGAGGGCGGATATGAGCAAAAAAACAGCCCGTTTTTTTGCCCCCCCCCCATCCAGCAGCACTCTATAAGCCTCCATAAGGCTATGCATGTAATTTTTTTGATGAAAAACAGGCCAGTTTTTGGTAGTTTTTTGCCCCCCACCGGAGCACTCTGCAAGCCCCCCCCCCAAGGCTATTCGTGCCTCTTTTTTAAAAAAAATGGGCCTTTTTTCGGGAGGTTTGCTTTTTTTCCCCTTTTTGGAAAGCTCTTTATCTGATTGATGAGAATTACATTGCTCAAGTGCTGTGCCAGCAGAAACAAAGTCTTAGGTGCTGCAGATTGTCAGCGATTTCCTTCTCCAGCACATGGATAAACACACTTGGAAACATCTCCCTACCTACCTATTCTCTCTCCCGCCCTCCCTCCCTACTATATTTCTCTCTCTCTCTCTCTCTCTCCCTCCCTCTCTCTCTATCCCTCTATATACCTACCTACCTACTCTTTCCCCCTACCTATCTACTGTATTTTTCTCTATATCTTTCTATTTTTCTCTCTCTATCCCTCTATATACCTACCTACCTACTCTTTCCCC